GTATAGAATATTATTATACTCATTAAAGTCCGTTAGCTGTAAACTTCAGTCAGTTGTTAATATTCTTCCTACACATCCGTTCATAATATCAAATTTAAATAAAAATATATACTTAATATTTTATTCTCGACTGCCTTCAGTTAACAACTATGCTATCTTGTTTATTTGTATTTGTTCAGCCTATGGTTTCTTTTTTCAAGATTAAAATAATTATTTATTAGTAAATCGTAGGCCTATATTCTAAAAATACATTCGCCGCCACGTGGATTTTAATGTTGTTATAGGCCTACGAGTACTCGCCGTACAATATATTAATACTATTGGTTGACGCACACATTTCCATCAACAACTCAAAGCAGTCTGTGACAAAAAGTAGCAAGCCACATTAATGAAACTAATCTAATAACCAATAAAGAAAATAAGTCTGTACCTTGCAGGGATGTTCTTTCTGTAGTTCTTAGACACCGGCGGGTAGGACATTTGCTTTTTTCTTATCAACCATTTACCTTAGCAGACCCAAAGTTATGTTACTAAACAACAGAGTATTCTGTTTCTGACGAAAGCGTTCCGGATGTCACAAACATCGATGCTTATTTACACACGTAGCATGTTGTTTTTCATTGCTGCAGTATTGAACTTCTTTGTTTGTTGAAGCTATTTCACTAAAGAGATGCATACATTTGATGATATCAATGTACGAAGGTCGATTCGGCACCAGTACCTGTAAGTATGATGGGGTATCATACCGCCAATGTTGACTTGGCATAAGGGTCAATGGAAATAACCGTAGGCCTAGCACAACTAAATAACCATTGTACTTTAAAGAACAGCAACACCACAGAGTGCAGCTACAACTGCAACAACATTTAACAGTAACAATTCAGTAACAATTAACAGCAACGATTGACGAATGTCAATTGACGAATTGGTAATAGACGGGTGAAGGATAGCGGTTGGCATTTGTTGATTGACAATAGTAATTGATAATAGTAATTGAAAATAGTAATAAAGAATAATAATTAACAATAATAATTAAATGAATGGGGGAAGATAATAATCTGGCTCCATACCATTTGCGGAATTACTGACCTATAGTTTTTATGCTAGCTAGCCTTGTGAACGCTTGATTTTAGGCCATAATACACCAGGGATGAAATTTCGAAGATATTACTTGAAGAAACCTGGTTAAATGAAAAACATTCATGAAATAATCGATATCTATTCTTTACACAGGGTGGGTAACTTAACTCAAAGTTCGGTATTTATGACATACTTCTACGTCACAACAAAAATGATGTCACGTGATAAATAGGTCTCTTTCAATATCGGGTTCCGATGACTAATAATAATAATGACTAAACAGAATATTTATTCCCAGTCTGCGGGTGTATAGGTCTAGCGCTACTATTAAAGTAGCGTATGCGCATCTTCATCGAAAGTTTAATAAGTTTAAGTTGGAGGGGCAAACCATTTACCGCTGATAGTAGTTTTAGTACAACTTTTTTCCCTCCTCTGCCTCCCTCCTTCTTCGTCTTTTCTTTTGTTTTGTTTTTGTGTGTGTGCGTGTGGGGTTTTTTTTTTTCTTACCGGTACTGTTTGCTGAAAGGAATAGGCCTAAAAGTTAATTTTATTTAAAAACGCTAAAGCTTCGTATTTACAAGAAGAAATAATTCATTATTTCTACCAAACGTGAAACATCCACAATTAACAGTGTAGAAAAAAAGACCAGTAGAAGGGAAGTTGTGATAATGTGCTACAAGAATTTTGTTCAGATTCCATGACAAATTAGTGTTTGTCTTAATGAGATTCATCACGTTAGCCTGTCTGTCTAATATTTGTGAAGCACCAAATCCAATCACTATTTATATAAAACAATAATTTCTCTTAATTTCAACTTGAAGCTTTAAGTAGATTTTGCTCCCCGACAAGAGGTCCACTCCCACCCCCCTCCTGTCGGGGAAGCCTAGGACTTCCTTACCCCCTCGGCAAAAATTGTGTTGATTATGGTATCCTTTATTTAAAAAGGATAAATTTATAGAAAACCATTCAAGTTCTAACCGCCTGTTAGAAGTTCCAGCCCCTGTTCGGGGAAGATGTGCTGCCACCACACCCAATCGATCGCTATTATAGTATACAACACCTCGCACCAAACAGTTTTCAATTCCTATAATTTTACAGCTTAGTAAGGCATACCTAAATTGTACTTTCGGCGGTCGAGATTTCATATTTACGACTTTGCTGGAAATTCCCCGACAGTGGGTCCAAGCGGGGGTCCAGAGGTCTCCAAGGGTGTAGGGTCCTTTGCCTCCCTGGACTACCCTCTAACGCCACCCCTGGTATTCAGTAGTATAATTAAAATTAGAATAAGTCCTCTTAAAAGCAAGAATATCACTCTGTTGATGACCCATTTGGCTCTTTTGATTGGTGGCCTAGTTATTCAAAACGTGTTTAATCACTTCTTGCACTATCGGTTTTCAGATAGGTAACGTTTTCGAGGCAGGGAAGAATCCAGATTTTTTAACGAGGGCTGGGGGAGGCGGCACAACATTTTCAGAATAAATGAGTAGCTGAGTAGCATATAACATTGATCTGAAATTTCAAAAGTTAGTGGAAAAACGGGGGAGGGGATGTCCCCGTGCCCCTACTGGATCCGCGCCTGTTAGAACCCTATCAGTTTTATGCCTACCTTAATAATATTGCTAATATGTTAGGTCAGTCGTCATTTTAAGTCTAATGTATAAGTTATTATTAAATACATTTTGCAAATTATGTTATATCTTTATATGTTTAATTCAATTGATTAATATTTTACCATGGTAAGACACGACCATATGCCGTCAACTGAGAGCTGAAACTCACCATCACGTTTAGAATGTAATTTACAGCCTAAAATCATTATAAGCTGTATTCATATATGATACGCTCCGAGGTGTCTTCAGGCCACCATACGACTCATTTGCTTCGGTAAATTTATACAATCAAATGATAATTTGATTTAAGTGATGCTAGTGTAATAAAGCATTGAGAAATATATCAGTCTGCTGAACCTTGGATGCCGGAACTTCCATGTTTTTGGGGGTTTTTTTCAGATTGCTAGTTTTTAAGTTTGACGTTGTGCCTCTTTGGAGCTTTTGTCAATTACTGATACTGATCCATAGGCCTATTCAGATATAAGCAACAGTTATTTTTCCGCCATAATGTGACGGTAAATGGCGCTTCTTCAAATGTATTATCGGCTATATGTAACTTTCTATCTTGGTTTAGTGTAGACAATATTACATTAAACTGGAAAAAAGTTTCAGTAATTCTACGTTAATCCTATCTGCCTGCTTTCTACATTTTTTGTTCGATGGATAAACATAATTTCAAAAAAAATAAACATGTATGAATGGTGTAATTGTCGGGTATAATATTCTTAGTGTAAATAATAAGAAGAAACTTGATAAAATAATGAAAACGTAATTAAAATAATAGGTAGAAATGTACATGTTATTGATGAGATTTATAAACGTGATGTGATTAGCCAAGTTCAGAAAATTATGGAAGATATTTCACACCCATTAAACAATAAATAACTCAGGTAGACTCCGCTGTCCATTGAAATGCAAGACAACATGATGCAGGAAATCGTTTGTTCATAATTCAACTATATTACAACATTAAAATAATAGGTAGAAATGTACATGTTATTGATGAGATTTATAAACATGATGTGATTAGCCAATTTCAGAAAATTATGGAAGATATTTCACACCCATTAAACAATAAATAACTCCGGTAGACTCCGTCCATTGAAATGCAAGACAACATGATGCAGGAAATCGTTTGTTCATAATTCAACTATAATAAGTTTACAACTCAACTTTAGATAGATAGTTTGTATATTATACTGTATATTTAAGTATTTCATGTACCGGTATATGTTTTTAAGTGCAACTAATCCTTGTGTTTTATTTATTTCATACTTATTATTTATGTACCGTGTTAAGCATCATGGAAACCAAATTTCATGTTCGTTATTTTGTGGTCATGACAATAAAGATTATCTTAAAGAAAGACTTAAGATTTAAGATTTTTGTTTACGAATTTAATAGGAACAAAACATTTTACATTAAAATAGTATGACTAAAAAATCTCAAAACTGTCAAGGCAATGATGAAGGCATGTTTCGAGGTAGGTATTTGAGACCAGCAAGCCCTTCTCTGAAGACAGGGATTTTCCACTTGTTCGACGTTCAGGGATAGTATTTTATCCTTCTTATACTATTTTTAGACCAATCGAATGAAAAATATCTGTGAGTGTAATCAACATGCCAAAGTGAAGACCTAAGTTGCTATTGTAACTAGTGTATTATTCAATTAGTTTAAAAATATAATCTTCTGCGCCAGATTTTAAGCAGTCTGGAAGATATATTTCTTTATAGACTTTCTATATACTTTTTAAAAGTTTTACTATATACATGATCTGTACTCGTAACATTTGTCAAACGGCCGTTACAGCGTCCCAAGAGAGTTCACCACAGCTAAAACTGTTTTCAATGACCCTGTCGTATTCCGGCGGGTCATCGCCGTAGTTTGTTAAGTGACTCATTGTAGAATAGATAGATGACGAATCACCAACTTCGATGATAAACTGAGCTTCGTCGTATGATGGCGGTATACTATCATTTTCTTCAATTTCTTGCAGAAAGACGCAGTTAACATGCACTTCTCGAACTAGAGAAAAGTTAAATGGAATTTGATAAGTATACAATTAATGTTATTATTAAGATTGACAGTAGATGACGGTTCTAGACTGTCACGATTAACTATTTACCTGTGTTTTGCCGTGCTCGCCTCTCCCTGTTTCGCTCTTCTATGTATGATAAACATTTGTCGAGCGCCCTTAACAAGTACAACAATACGATCCATTATTTACGGTGTTAAGCATCATGGAAACCAAATTTCATGTTCGTTATTTTGTGGTCATGACAATATAGTTTATCTTAAAAAAAGACTCCATTTAAGATTTTTGTTTACGAATTTAATAGGAACAAAACATTTTACAATAAAATAGTATGACTAACAAATCTCTGATAAATATTATGTAAGATCAAAACCGTCAAGGCAATGATGAAGGCATGTTTCGAGGTAGGTATTTGAGACCAGCAAGCCCTTCTCTGAAGACAGGGATTTTCCACTTGTTCGACGTTCAGGGGTAGTATTTTATCCTTCTTATACTATTTTTAGACCAATCGAATGAAAAATATCTGTGAGTGTAATCAACATGCCAAAGTGAAGACCTAAGTTGCTATTGTAACTAGTGTATTATTCAATTAGTTTAAAAATATAATCTTCTGCGCCAGATTTTAAGCAGTCTGGAAGATATATTTCTTTATAGACTTTCTATATACTTTTTAAAAGTTTTACTATATACATGATCTGTACTCGTAACATTTGTCAAACGGCCGTTACAGCGTCCCAAGAGAGTTCACCACAGCTAAAACTGTTTTCAATGACCCTGTCGTATTCCGGCGGGTCATCGCCGTAGTTTGTTAAGTGACTCATTGTAGAATAGATAGATGACGAATCACCAACTTCGATAATAAACTGAGCTTCGTCGTATGATGGCGGTATACTATCATTTTCTTCAATTTCTTGCAGAAAGACGCAGTTAACATGCACTTCTCGAACTAGAGAAAAGTTAAATGGAATTTGATAAGTATACAATTAATGTTATTATTAAGATTGACAGTAGATGACGGTTCTAGACTGTCACGATTAACTATTTACCTGTGTTTTGCCGTGCTCGCCTCTCCCTGTTTCGCTCTTCTATGTATGATAAACATTTGTCGAGCGCCCTTAACAAGTACAACAATACGATCCAAAATATAATCAAGATGAGCAGGTCTATTAAGTCACTTGACATAACCACCAGCTTTCGATCTCACATGACTGCTTTTCTACAACTTCTATTTTACATAAAATTATGAAAAAAAAAATAAAAGTTAATCAAAAGATTCTACTTATGTTGAACTTTATGCAACACAAATGACATTATTATTCAGATAATTTGAATACCCTCAAATTTTTTTAATGCTATTTCTATAGTTCACGCAGCGATAAAGTAAAGAAAACATTAACAATATTAACGAAATAACTCGTATGTTACAGTGAAACGTCTCCGATGACCGCTCATGCAAAAGTTTCCAAACTAATATTTTATCTTTAACACGTTCTAGAAAACCTATAAAATATGTTTATACGATGAATGGCTGTATCCTTGACAGAACCCAAACTGTTAAGGATCTTGGGGTTGAAATAGCATCTAACCTGTGTTGGGATGATCATATTCAAAAAATTGTTAAAAAATGTAACATGAAAATGGGTATGATAAAGCGTTCGGTAGGATTTAATGCACCAAAAAATGTTGCATTAACATTATTCAAAGCATTCGTCAGGAGTGATATTGAATATTGTACTTCTCTTTGGAATGGGACTTCTAAATGCAATTTGCTTAAGATTGAAAGACTTCAACGTTGGGGAACCAAATTTATTCTTAACTATCCCGATACTGACTATAAACAAAGGCTCAGTGAGCTTAAACTGTTACCCCTGTCTTACAGAAGAGCAATTATTGATCTTAGGTTATTTCACAAGTGTATACATGGTTACTGTGACATACCCATTGAGCATTTTGTCACCTTTAATTCTCCTACCGAAGATTGTCGAATAACTAGATCTGCCTCTGACCAGCATGTTCTCGTGCCTGTTAAGTGTAACACTGAATCCCATTAACGATCTTTTTTTCAGAGAATTATCCCCATATGGAATCAGCTACCATACTATATTAGGTCTACAACATATATTCCATTTTTCAAGAGGCACGTCCGTAATTTCTATAACAACAAATCTATCAACAATTTTGATCCCACTGACACTTGCACGTGGGTCTCTTGTTGCCGCTGTGCGCTGTGCAGAAATTGCTGAGTGTGTGTCATGCCATTTGTGTGGGAATGGATTTCCCCCTGAATATTTGAAACGTTGAAGTCTTCTGTGCAATCATTTAATGTATTTTTAAATAATTTCTGAATTACAATGTATGCAATATCTTTGTCATTTAATTTTTTAATTATGGAGTAATTTTGTTTTGAAATTTTTAAATTGTATTCATCCTGTTTAACTTTTTTGTGCAATATTTTGATGTTCTGGTTTAAATTTATTTTAATTCGATTTTTGTCAATTTTTTTGTTATTACTCTTCTGAGTATCTTTTTTTTTTCCTATTCTTTTATTAGCCTTTGTAAATAAACATTTAAATTAACAAATAATTAATAAATTTTAATGTACATTATACAATTCTATCTCTTTGTAAATAAATTAAAAATTAATGATAATTAATAATTTAAGTTATATTTTGTATTGTATGTTTAAATTTGTATATTTACTATTTTACTATTTCAATGTTCTGTATTTTCGCCTGTTCTCTTGTATATTCTGTGTGGTTCTGTAATCTGTTCAAGGGGGGGTGTAGATAGAGGTGCTTGACACCTGTTCATCCCCTCCTTTTCGCTGCTCTTTGTCTTGTTTTTGAATTGTTCTTGTATTTTTGCAGTGATGAAGTGTAATAAATAAAAATAAAATAATACCTATTGCTTTGACAGTGTTGAACGATTTTTTGCGCTACATTATTCTCATTGGCTTATCTGAAGGGGTCAGGGGGTCCTGACCCCAATTGGAAAAAAAAATTAAAATTTTTTTTAAAACACCTCAAAAGTCGGGAAAGCTCATTGCCAGCAATTAAGGAATCATTTTTTTTTTTCGTTTTTTTTAAACATTTTCCCCCCGTAAACTTGAAGCCGCCGTCTCTATTTAATTATAATATTAAAGGAAGCGTCAACGACTAGCCTATGTTATAGTACTAAACGGCAATGAATACTATGATATAAGATGGGCGTGGATTTCCGATCTCTTACATTCTCTATTCCACCTTTTCCGGAAATGGTGAACGTTTTATTACATACCATAATTTTTTTTTTTTTTTGAGAAATGTGTTGCCATCAAGAATCCAGTCCTGGCTCCCTAATTACCGTTCGGTCGGAATCCTTCAGCCATTTTTTTTATTGGATATTAGTTTCCTATACTAAAAGTATTGTATATTGGGTATTTATAAGAAAAATCACATTAAGTTAAATTCCTTTAACCAGACGAATATTCGAACACTTAGTGTTATATCGTCAGAATTCATGTATGGCTCTTAGACTTGAAAAACTCTCCAACAAGACCAAAAAGAGAATTAGTGCCTTACAAATGCAGAATCGCCGTTATCGTATGCTAAAAAAAAAATACATAGACGGACGATTTTAGTAGAATCCCGAAATGAATGAACGGATTATATAACCACCAGAACAGTCCTATTTGTAAACAGTAGGAAGCATTGATAGATAAAGAAAATAATGACGATTTATTGTACGGTATCCAAACTCTAAAATATAAAGGTGCATAAGAAGAGAAATTTCGTTTACATAGACCTTAATTACTTTACACTTACCTTTGTGTAATTACCGATAAAAGCGTTGCGTTATTATTTTTTGGTTCTGACAAAAATTCCGTGTTGGGTTTGTAATAATATTATACGGATATGCATGCAAGTATTCAATTATTTTGACATGGAAGTAAATGAACAAATCGGACCCAAGGTCCAAAGCTCAATTAATTTATCTTAAAATTACCTCAGCAAACAAGCAAATCTCTCAGGTCACAATCCAGTTATTAGTTACGATATTATCTTTTGTAGACCTAACTCTATATTTTTTATGCTGTCCCAATATTATGGAATGTCATAACATTTACGTCAGTTTTTCTCCTAGCTTTTCTGTTAAGGAGATGTTAAAAGCTTACTTTATCTTCATCACCCATTATAAGTGATTGACACACATGTAAATATTTGTGTTCAATTATTTATTTCTTATTTTATTCTTACATTCATATTACATCTTTGTCATATGGATTGAAATAAATAATCTTGAATTTGTGCATTTTGAGTAATACCACTGAACATTGTATTTTGAAAGAGGATATTGACACTAAAGGTATTTGTTAAATTTTAAAATAAATAAAGGCATTGAGTTATGAAATACTCAGTGATATCATGAAAGAGTAAATATATGAGATCCTAACCGACACCTCGCCATGGATGACTAAGCACAATCGTAGTGGAACTGTTGGTGCAGGGGTAACGGTTTGATTTTTCCAACCTAGGTTAGGGTTTCTACCACTCACCTCGCTTATGTGTTGTATTTTTTTTAACAATGATTTTTTTCTCTCTTCATCGGAGTAAATGAATTCCTTGATGGGATTACCTACTTCCAAGCAGGTGCTTGCTGCTTCTGCGCAGATACGGCAAGAACATTTCTGCATTTGGACACAATGACCGGAGAAAAAGTGCTTTAACTTAGCTAAAAGCAAAGGCGTTATATAAACTATTATCTTCAAACAATATTCAAGGGTCATTCAAAGGCGTGTACATTTTTGCTTCGTCACTCAAATAATAATAATAATAATAATAATGATACAGTTGAACATGTTCAGGTCTTATCTTTCCAGACATAGTAAAATATTAAACTGATCAATTTAGTCTCAGGCGAACCCCCTTTTTTTTTTACCCTCCTACTGTTGCTTTGCTCTTCAGCATGTAATTTAATATCCAAGTTCCAAAGTTGTTAGGAAAACTTTTATAATTGTATCCAAAAAGTATGTTGAAAACATTCTTTTAGCAACCGAATGAGCTTGAAAACGACAAACAAATTTTCACATATTTTCTAATGTAAATTATTCTTCATAAATTATGTTATTTCTTTATTTCTACCTAAACGGTAACCAGGCTACACAGTGCCCTCTAGCAATGGTACTGCTTATTTAACATAGAAAACTAAAAAAAATTAAGTTGGCTCTCCGCACATTTTATGCCCATCCCTGCTATAGGCATATGTGTAACCTCTTGCTACATTTGTAACTGATTGTTATTCTACGCTGGATTGAATATAAAGACTAAAATCTCAGTTTCATTCGAATGTCTGGTGGTGTTGGAGGTTGTGTCCTAAACATGGTGTAACAGGTGATTACTGATTACTTTATATTAAATGTTATATAATTTACTTACAAGTCCCTCCAAAATCAGCAGACCTTCAGGATGAGCTGGGACGGTCACCCCGTATAAATAAGATTTTAAATAATAAATCGCATTTATTGGTAGTAGGACTAATCTTGAGGATTTACACTCTTGTGTACCTGATGTTGTTAACGAATAATAAATCAAGCAAGCTTAGAGCACATAAGTACGATTAGCGACAAATATTAATACATTTAAAAAGATTAGGCGTACCTGTACTGCAGAAATCTCAAGTCATGTCTTTCTTATCACGTCATCGACGTCATCACGACATCATCTGTATTATGGTTCTGAACGTTGGACTTTCCTATTAACTACCTTCAACTCGTCTATAATGCGAGTATCATTGACACCCCCGAGTCTGTTATAAAAGATGTTGAGAGTATTATTCATGAATTTCTTTGGGATACAAAATTTGAGAAAATAAAGAGGCTAATTTTAATCAATGATTATGAACATGGTGGTTTAAAAGCCCCAGACTTTAGAGCTCAAGTCAAATCATTACACATTGCTTGGCTTATACGTTTGTTTAATGAGGATAATTCCAAATGGAAGTGTTTGCCTCTTATGTATAACAAAATTGGCCCAAAATACGTAATTAAGAACTTATCCCATTTGAATTTTAAATGGCATGCCCTTAGAGGTATACCAACCATATATATTTCAATCGTAACTGCTTTGGCTCAGCTCAATGAAGGTATTGCCCAGCACCCGGCATGTTATGATGAGGTCATCGAGCAGCAACTATGGGGAAATAAAATGATTACATATAATGGCTTCTCATTACTGTACAGAAACTGGATTAGATCCGGTATTAACAGAATAAAAGATGTTGTAAACATCAATAGGTTATGTAACAAAGAGCTGCTTACAGTGTTGAAAGGAAAAGCTACAGTAATTGGGTCTCTGAATTTTATTTTTTACTCAAGGCAATTCCACAAGAATGGAAAGATATTATTCACAGGAAACATGTTGAAAACATGAAATATTAAACCCATTCAAAACTGGTGCAATATGAGTAGTAAAAAAAATATCTATGTTTTATCAGAAAAAAATGTCTAGAACCTTTAAGGTGTCAAACAAAATAGGGATCAATACCTTAGTACTCCGGTTTACTAGTTTTTAACATGGGAAAGGAAAGTTAAACATTTCAAGGAAAACAAACTTAAACTAAACTTTAAATTGTTACATAATTTAGTGCCCACTAAAAAGAGGCTTTATACGTGGAAGTTAAATGAGTCAGATAAGATTGAAAATGTAAAGTCGTTGAAGATGAAGAACATTTATTATTTAGTTGTACTGAAGCAAGCATGCTGTGGGATTATATAAATAGTGTAACCGTCAACAGATTTGGTATTGAAGCTACTTTTAGGAACATTGTTTTAGGTACGGGAAACAATGTTGATTATCTGTTTTTGGTCGGTTTATACAGTATTTATAAAGCTAAAGTTTTAAAAAATCTTAACAAATGGAACCATAGGTCACTCTTTACCCTTTTTTAACACCGAAAAATATGAGAAAATGGTTTTAATTTTTTTTCAAAAAATCAAATTATTATATTTGTACATAAAAAGAAAGGTTTTTTATACCAGAACTCAATTTGTATATCATGTAAAATGTTGATGTTAATAAGCGATACATGCTGTTAAAATGTGCTACTAAAATGACGAATAAAAGTGGGATGAACCCACAAAAGAATAAAAAAAACTACCTTCAACTTTTTAGTTAATAACATTTATCAAAGCGGTATTGCATAATATTCTCTGCGTCAAATTCTTCTATCTAGTTGAATTCTGTTCTTCTTCCAGTGTTATTCTCACCGTGTCCACGTAACTAACGTTGTGAATGTGTCTCAGCCAAAGCTGAACACAATAATTACCGCCATCGTTATACGCCATAAGCGCCAACTTGCATCGTTGATCGAAAAGATAAACTTTCATTTAAGTATTTCATAGATTGTGGTTCAGTACCGCACTCGCACATCACATTCTGGTGTCCTGGTACCTCAATTTCTGGACTCGGTGTGGTGTTTGGTAAAAAGTCAGTGAGTTATATTATACATCAAGTCCTTTATTGCGACTTTTATTGTACATTGTAAACAGTATTTATAACTTCAAATTTTATTACGTGCAATGTATGACTTTGAATATCTGTTCACTAGCCTCTTCAAAGGTCGAAGAAGTGACACCGACTTATTTAGGTAGTATAATACATACTCCAAGTATCGAAATGCACGCCATCGTGCATCGATACTTGGAGTATATATTATATTATCTGAGATTAATCAGTGGACCTTTCGGCTTATTTAGAGTTCTAAAACATTGGACCTCATTCTGTTTTGCGATTACGTTTATTAGGTTTATCTTTCCCTGTACAAATATCGTTATAAAATATTATAGTGTCGTATAAATATATCCATAAAATATTATATCTAAATTCAGGCGCGGATCACGAGTTCATTCTGACTATCACATAGCTGGAATCCCGGACCGGATTTAGAGCTACGTACCATAGAGAAAATAGGAACTATGGTAAGTTACCGTAATTCATACTTACCATCTTACAATGATGACAAGTAGAGGGTGGGGTAAGCGAAGAGAGTGTAATTTGTGGTTGTTCTGTCAAATGGAAAACAAACCAACATTTGGTTTGAAATTTGACAAAATATGCTATAGCAAACAATTATCATCTCACTCGAAATTTCAGGCTATGAAAAAAGAAGTAATATTGTTTAATTAAAAGCAAAATCTGTCTGCTTCATCAACGAATTGTGTTAATTTAAGCACCTGCTTGACTTAAGCAAACACAACTAATGTCACTTTTGTTAGGAGAATGAAATATCATGCATAATTTAAAGGCTGAGCGAAGCAGTATATTTTAATTTTTAAAATATCAACAATTTGAGATTTACTTTCCATGCAGTAAAGAAAATTACTATTGGTTTAATAACTTTAAATAATGAACGTTTTCCGTTTATTATCAGCATATCAATATAACAGAATCTGTCTGCTTCATCAACGAATTGTGTTCATTTAAACATCTGCTTGACTTAAGCAAACACAACTAATGTGACTTTGCTTAGGAGAATGAAATATCACGCATAATTTCAAGGCTGAGCGAAGCAGTATATTTTAATTTTTTTTAAATCAACAATTTGAGATTGACTTTGCATGCAGTAAAGAAAATTACTATTGGTTTAATAACTTTAAATAATAAATGTTTTCCGTTTAGTATCAGCATAATTTTCAATATAACAATATAATTATTGTTCAATTAAATAAGCCATTACCATATTATGTATATATATATATGTATATTTATATATATGTGTGTCTATATATATATATATTATATATATATATATATATATATATAATTGCAGCTTAAAATTAGAACGAGCAGTTTGAGTTACAGAAACACAATCAATATTACTATCTTCAATCAATCAATCAATCAATCAATCAAATTAATCAAAGCTTTATTTATTCACAAATAATATACATTGAAATATACATTTAAAACTCGTTCACCAAAAAGGAATGACGGTGTTCTTCAACGAGATCATGACATGAAGACTGTATAAGATAAATATACATTAAAAATAGATTATAACGAAATATATACAACTATAAGAGTTTTTAAATAAAACAACGAAAATTTGAAAAACTTAAACCACCACTTTCTTACAGCTTACCAAAAACTCTTTGGTTTTTTTGGACAGTAAATTTCATTATCAGACCAATTAAAATTTTAGCCAGATGCCCTACAAATTAGTCTAAAGTTGTTGTCTGATGTAAGATATTGCCATTCTAAAAAAAAAATATGTAAAAAAAAACTTTTTCCACCCGCCCCTATTTTTCATTTTTAAAAGAAAGGCAAACAAACAATTCATTTTTTGGCCTAATGTAGACCTACGGTGCCCACAGGTAAAAAGCACAACGAGCGGTTCAACCTTCTGACATAATATCTCAAAGACTGAATTGCAAACGCTATGCAAACCGCTCCCACGTCATTACCGTCACCATCTTCTTATCATATCGACGTCATCATCATCATCATCATCTTTACGGTTCTACCATTTAATTCAATGTTTAGAAAGTATCATTCAACTATAAATCTGCATGATTTTTTCGTAAGATGGTGGCTGATCGTTTGTAAGTTCGTTTAATGTAACCGATATCGATACAGAGTTAACGCATTCATCGTATGAAGGAGGGGAGTCCGTTGGCGGTCTTGTTGTTGGTGTAGTCTTACTATCATCAAGACGCATATCAAGAACCACTGATGAAATACTTCTGACTTGCTCTCCTAGAGAAAAACAAACCAAATAAATGAAAATGAATATAAAAACGAAAGAATGAAGACGATATTTATTTTTATGAAATAAGGTGCTTATCCATGATTTGACGTCATCGGATTCAAGTACTTTAAACCAAAAATTGATCATAATATACCCATGAACACAATAGTAGATATTGCTTTCAGGACAATAAGACAACTGAAGCCAGCCATTCAATGCAAGATCATTTTCGAATAGCCGAGCTGTTAAGGCGAAGCCACCGCAACCTACAGCCATAATGGGCCGCTGGTTCAAACGGCACGGCTCGCCTATGGTTCTGGTGGTGGAACAACTTATGGAATGGAATCTAATCCGTAGGCCCAGTGTATATTTCGAGAAGAGTAGGGGGTTACCCGACGTTCTGGTCAATTACGATCGACAATTACGGTCAATCGAAAGTACGCATCTTGGCAGCTGATTGGATATGCCTTGGGGAGAAGTTATAAAATGAGTTGTTCCTTGCCTGTGAGCATTTCAGCCCAGGGGTGGCGGCAGCAGGGGGCCGGGGGCCAGGGCTCCCTCGGGGAGAAAAAGCACAATTCTTCGGGGAGAAAAAAAATTAAATGTAATTTCTACATATTAGTAGACTCTAAAATCGATTAAATAAGCCTTTGTAATCCCTAAATTGTCAAAATTTTCGGGGCTTCGGCCCATGGACCACTTTGTACACCTTTTAATAGAAGTTCGACCACGCCCACTTTGCTTTCGTCGGGGAAATCTGACCCCCCCCCCCCCCCCCCCCGTAGGGCAAATCCTGGCGCCACCCCTGTCCTAGTTAAAGCTGCAAGTCTCATGTTATCTCTTACCTTTACCTTTCCTGTCCTATGGGCCTACATTTATTTTGATTTGATTCAAAAGATGTAATTTGTGATTTTGTTATATTTTTATAGAGTAACAAGAATAATGATAAAAATTATAGAATTCAATAATAATATGGATAGCACCTGCAGACAATTGTTATAAACAACTATATAAATAGTTATATATACAGTATTTGTCTCAAGAGAGCACCTACCTGCGTTTGTGTGTTCTACTTGATCATTCTGTAAGCCTTCCCCACACGTATTATTGGTACGGCATACAAGTACCTTGATAACAATGCAGATGATGTAAATGATTGGGATCACAAAGAGGAGGAGTGACATTATAGGTCTAATATGCATATATCCTCACTTTATTCTAGTCGGATGGTCACGGTGTTTCATAGAAACAAAGCAATTGTTAAACGTCCGATAATAGAGGTATTACTATTACTAGGCCGCCATGACACCTGTAATACGAGTGTTTAATTCTAAATTAGCAAAGCTCACTCGAAAATAATCTCGACGACGATCAATTAGAGCGAAGTTATCCGTAAGACACCAACTTTTTATCTGATGGAATAAATAAATCGCATGAGGTAGAGATAAGAATGATTATGCGGGTGCTCTCCCGGAACATCCCCATAGGTGATTTGTGTCATCAAATGACATGATAATAGCTTTATTGCATGTGTTTCATTTGTACAGTGATAAACTTCAAATGAGTAGTGACAATTACATTACTGGCGGTATACTTATCTATAAGTGAATTGTAGATTATTATCTCTAAACAGATCCGTGAAAGGCATTGAATATAGTAGCACATATAGATAAAACTATAACTCAAAATCTAGATTGTTCCACGACTGAGGGAGTCTTTACATGGTAAACTTTATTAATGTGTTTGCATACTTTTATATGAAGTTGTATTAATTACTTCCGTCAAGGAGGTTATGTATATTCACTGTCTGTTTGGCTTTCTGTCTGTTTGCCTGTTAGCAAAATTAATGGATAAATAAATCATCATAAAGCTTAGTGGAATGGTACATTATTATCGAAAAAAGACACCATTTAATTTTTGGAATAAAAGATCAAAGGACAAGATCAAGTTCAATAATGGAATCGCCCCTCCTATTCAGGCAAGAAAATAATGTACCTGAATACGACGGGCGATTCTATTATTTTCTTGAGCGTATTCTGCAGTTGAATCATACACGACGTTCTTATTGTTAGTATTCATGCACAGGGCGGAGTTAATGCACTCTGGAATGACTGCTCTAGTTTTTAATGGGGTCACAATGAGATTGCCTTTGAATTGAGCGGGCCATCCAGTAAAGAAAGCTGAATTAATAATTCTGTAGCACGACCCATAAAGTAAAACTAGTAAAATCAAAGTTAAGACTAAATATTATGAATATTTTCTTCTTTAGCAGGCAAATTATAATTATATTTATATGTATGGGAATTTAAAGTGCGAAAACCAGCACGTTTCATGACTGGCGCGTAATCCTGGCTATTAACTCACTTTCAGATTTTTTTTTTTTTTTTTTTTTTTTTTTTGCCCGGAGGGGAGGGGTCGGACCCCTGACCCCTCCAGATCCGCCAATGATAATCAAATTTTCAGGTCTATTTACTTTTTTTTCTTTCTTTAAGCACACACATGTGTCAATGATTGTCAATATGGAATATACATCACTGTCCTAAGTTTGTTTTGATTTGGAGGCCGAACGGTTCAGAAAAGGTAAGATAAATTGAAATGTTATTGATTTTGATAATTGAAAAAAATCTTGAAAAATTAAAGGCGTGGAATAATTATTAGAGGGCGCTATATCAAAACAGAAAAACAAGATGGCTCAGTCGCTTTCTGACGAGGAATTTAATCGTATGCAAGTAAGCGACTCTTGTTTAATCAATGTCAATAAAAACATCATACAATATTAAATTTGATAGATGTTTTATCTGTTTATTGTCTGTTAGTAAATTTGTTTGCCTGTGTTATGGGTAGGCCGGAGTCTACACTACACAGGCATAGCCTAGCCAACCTACCATTCCCAGGCTAGTCTAGGGTAGGAGGTAGGCTTAGGCTCCCTAGAGTAGGGTAGGGTAGGCCGCCGGATGCCGCCCTATAAACCCAGCCTAGAGTACTCAGTTCAGACTAGGCTTAGGTTATGCCTTGAGGTAAACAAGCCTACAGATACCTATGTCATTTTTTATGGTACGTCCCTTACGCCTGCATGTATACCACCAACTGTCGACGACAATCTCGTCAGAATGTAGCTCCACCAGACATTCACATGGAATAATGGATGGTTGTTGGTATTGCCTTGTTGGTCAGATGATTGTGTCTTACTATTGGCCCGGCCTTGATAATCTTTTGACTTGCATAGACCCCTTCCCTAGCTTAGGCATCTGTTATGTTAGGCACTGCCATTGGCTAAACTATTATTATAACTAACTAGCCTGGGCCTGACCTAACAAACCTCTGTGGGATATCCAAACCTTGGACTAGCTTATACCATCGTAAAAGTATGAAGAAGTAAAACAAAATGCCCAGTCTAGCCAACTAAGCCTTTCATTCCCAGACTATAATAAGGCCTGCGATGGAAAACATCCTCAGCCCAAAAATTAGGCCTAGAAGTCCATCTGCGGATTTCAGAAAATAAGAAATGATTTCCACACATATTTTGCCGAAAATTAGGCTTTGTTCTATTACAGTATTAGATCCTAATATACTGAAAACCACTGCATTATTCAGTAGTTAGACTCCGCGCACCTATTTTCCTTATTTTCACAAATTTAAGCTAGTTTTGAAATATCGCCCGTGTAATTAAAAATCTACAGTATGGTTCCTTTCAATTATCAATTTAAAGCCAAATCCTAGTATGATAGTTGTAGAGGTGTAGTAATATAGAAAGAAGTATTACCTTGTTTTTGATTAATAATGTTAACTTATTTTTCTTTCAAGGCTCAGCTTTTGGAGTTGAGGACCACCAATTATCAACAAAGTGATCAAATTAGAAAGTATGAAAATGGTGAGGTTTTTAATATATCTTTTAATATTATATAGTAGTAGTAGATGGAGCTATGTAATGCCGGCAACTCACTGCATCATACGACGGTCGTACAACCTTCGCACAACGAATCCAATTCCGCTCTGTGTGAGCGCTAGACAATGCGATGCTTTCTGCTGATTTTCAATGGCAGTCTGAATGGATTGTCATTAAAAACAATCCGTTGCGCATGTGTCGTCGCGTTTCATTTTTCATAAAAGTGCTAGTAGCACTTAGTAGATTACAGGAATTGTGTATTACGCAAGCTTTCGCCAATATCAGGTGGAGTGAGTTGGGTGGTGTAATTTTTTACATTGTACTTCAGCCTAGCAAATTAGTAGTCAGCCTCTCATAACATACTCTAGACTAGCCAGCTAGTAGTAGGCCTTGTCTAATGTACTGGTTAGCAAGGCTTTCTTTATACCTTGTTTAGGGTATACACCACCAGGAAAAAATCGAAATTTCAGAAAAGAATAAAAGTTTTTCTTTATTTTTAGTACACCTGCTGCTGCCTTGACATCTCCAAAATCAGATATTTACTTCTTCCTAATTATATAAATTGAAATAATTTAACCATCCCATTACTACACTGTTTACATTCAACAATAAATTTTTATTTTTATTTTTTCCTCCATTAAGATGTTTTTGGCAAAACTTTTTGCTAAATAAGAAAACAGAATTTTTTTTTTTTTTTCCGCCCTCCTCTGGTGATCTTTAAAAAAATTTGCGAAACAAGGTATTAAGAAAGTCTCCTCTTGTGTATTGACTGACGCACCTGATGAAGCCAGCGTAGACTGCAGGTGAAAGATTGTGTAATAAACAATTTAAGTTAGTCGATGAAGTGTTTTAATTTTAATATATTTTTTATTTGGACTCAAACAATGAATTATAGGTTATTATGTTCATTTTTATCCATATTAAGTGAGTGATGAAATACAATATTTCTTTTGGTTGAAATTAACATGTTTGGTGATGACATCATTAATGTCAAAGTATTGAATCCCAACACGATGGCGTGCATTTCAATACTTGGAGTATGTATTATACTTTCTTAACATGTTTGATTTTACAGAATTGTCAACTCTTCAAAGCAGATCTTCTTCCCTAGAAAAAGACCTTCAGAAGGCTAACAAGGTATTAATGGTGATATTTAGGTAGATGGTGATCTTACACTATTGGTAAATGTTATGCTAAATTTGAGAGGGGGGTGGGGTGATGCTGAGGGAGATGGTGATCTTATGGCAGAGAAGTAGTTATGATGGGCAGAGGCAGGCAGGGCTACCCAGCCTTCAAGTTTTCCAAGCAGTCTAAAGCTAATTTCATAGCCCTCCACACACCCTTATTAATCCTCTTTTCCATCCTTAAAATCCACTCTTATTACTTAGAGTTTACCAATGTTATCATATACCCACCTTAAAAATGTCTGTCACTCACCCTTCAATTTCTTCTGCTACACTGTACAACTCTGTATGGAAATAAACAATTTACTTCATTTATAGTTTAAGAGTATTGAAAAGTAAAGGTTTTTTCATTTTTTTTATTGATAATAAATTTAACTTCATACAATTTATTTTTAATTTATATTATTTTGTAGATCATCTCCAAAAGCAAGAAAGCAAAGGTAAGTTTACGCTTATTTAAAAAAAATTAGCATGTGATACGGCAGGCCTGGAAAAATAGTGTTTATGCCTCCGACTTTGAAAATTGTCTTGATATTTTAATGACCTTTAACCTTCAAAATTTTACACTACTATATATAACCCAACAATTAATTTTTTTGAATGTTTTCCCTCAAAATGCCTCCGGGACATCCATGATGCATCTGACCGCCAGTTGTGCGGTCGCACACTTTTTCCAGCCCTGTGAAAAACACATTGCACCAAGCATCAAAGGACAAATATAGCTTCAAATTTAGAAGTTTCAGTATTAGTCGAATAATGAAAAACAGAAAACTTTAGCTCTGTCCATATGAGCTGTATGCCCATATATAGTCATGGTGTATCTATATATGGTCATGATGTGGTGTCATCACCAAATTTGGGCATGACCCATGTTTTTGCCAATTAAAATTTTATAGTCTGCAAAGGGCTTTATATTAGTGCACTCAGCTCTAGAAGGAATTTTTAAGATGCTGTGAAAGCCAAAGCCATGTTAAGGCAGACAATCACTGTACCAGGCGGTCGTCGGTCGATGCGGTTCTATGGAGAACGCAACGTCTCGACGTGCACACAAGGGATCGTTTTTATTTACAATCCTTTTATACTGCAACCGACAATCAGCAGATGATGATGTATCATCTGGTGCTCATAGGAAGTGGAATTAGGATTTGCCATGCAACCGTCGTACCACACAGTATATCCCCAGTTATCCCCAACTATTATACTTCAAAAAAAAGCAGAGGATCATCTCCTGTATTGTCAGCAGTTTCTGTGACCCCATGTGCTTTGTGGAAAGGAATAAAATGTGGATGGAACTCAGTTTTATATTTATGATTTTTAGGAGGTGGAAGTATTAATCATTGAGAATGAGAGCCTACAGAGGAAGTTGCAGAGTCAGGAAGAGGACTTTCGTCTTCAGAATTCTACCCTAATGCAAGAACTATCTAAGGTACAGTTTGCCAGATTTCTTAAACTTAAAGTACAAAAATAATTCCAAAAAAAATTCCTCTTTAATTAATTTATTTTTGTTTGCACATTTATTAATAATTACAACATTTTTTAGCAGTAAAGTTTTTATATTTGTTAAGAATTAATACAAAGTTGCTGCTGTGTAAGTACAGCTTCCACACATCTCAGTCCCCAGAAAAACAAAAAAAAACTATGCCCATATATAGTTATGATGTGCCCATATATGGTCATGATGTGATGTCTTCACGACCATAAAATTTGATCGTCTATACAGGGTTTACGCTATTTTTATTTGAAATGATGATTTTTTTTTAGAATTTTTTTTTGGGAATGATAATTTTTTTTATATTATAAGTAGTTAATTGTTGTTCATTATATATACCAGCTATGTACAAGTAATGAAGAATTAGAGAATGAGGTTAAAGGGCTGCGACAGGGTAAGCCAACATCCCAGACCGGTACCACAGAGTCATCTGAACTTGCTGATGAGGTGCGACGGCTCCAGGCCCATAATGTTGCATTACAGAAAAATTTAACAGGTAAATAATGAAGAAAAGCGCATTATGTAAATGAATAGAAAAAAATCTCACAGGATATAGATTGCAAAGAAATTTGTCATGTAAATCTGCTGAAAAATCACTTACGCTATTGAGCTGAGGAAGCTCTAGTAGGAAAATCAGCAGGAAATTTATATAGGCAATGAAAGCTCACATCAAATGAGCAGAAAAAGTTCTCATGAAAATAAACAATAAATCTCATGAGCAAACTAGTGGTTTCCATTCTGGTTATTGAAATTGTGGTCAGGAGTTCAAAACACCTGTTGACCATTCTCGGCTTAAATACCCCAGCCTGCATTGTTTATGGGCTGTGAAGTCCATCATGCTATATTTGAGCCCTAGTTAATAAGCAGAAAAATTTCATATGTCATAAGTAAAAATCAATCTCGCATGGTTTAATGGGAGAAAAAAAACTTGTTTTGTTAATAACTAGAAGTGATCTCATAGGCAGATGAGCATGAAATTCTCACAGGCATATGAATAGGAAAAACTTAAAGGGTAAATGAGCAGAAAAATCTCATTTATTAAAATGAGTAAATGTTTCATATTAAAATGAGAAGAAAATTGTTATGTATATGAGCAAAAAAAATCTCATAAGCAGATGAGCATGAAATTCTCACAGGCATATGAATACAAAAAGCTTCAGGGTAAATGAGCAGAAAAATCTCATTTATTAAAATGAGCAAAATGTTTCATATTAAAATGAGAAGAAAATGTTCATGTAGATGAGCAAAAAGCATCTCAGGCAAATTAGCAAAAAAATTCTCATAAGCAAATTAGCAAGAAATGCTCACATGCTGAATGAGCATGAGATTTTCACTGGCGAATCTGCTGAAATTGTCAATGTGTGAATGAGCAGAAAACTCAAAATCACGAGGTATTATAAGAGCCTAAGTACATTTTAAATTCTATAATCTATAACATTTATTCGGGGAAAACTTCATAATTAAGATGTCATCATTTTAGGTAGACACCCCATATTTCTATATCTTCTATTGATTTTCTGATTTTTTATTTTTCCGACACGTAAGGTACTGTTGAAAAATATGAGGAAGAAATTTCAGTCCTGAAGCAAAATACAATGTAAGTGAGATTGTTTTTTTATTATTTATAAATCAGTATTTTTTGTAAAAATTAAATAGATTTAAAATAGGATTATTTAATTTAATATCTTCTAATTTCTCTTCAGATCTTTAAGTCTAGCAAACCAAGAGCTGGAGAAGAAGTATTCATTGCTATTAGGGGACCGACCAACTCCGACAGGCTCATCAGGGGATGGGTATGTTATTAATTTAATGATAATACAGTAGAACCCCTCTTTTTAAGGGGACACCTTCGAGACTAAAAAAATTGTCCCCTTAATAGTGATATCCCTATTCAGGGGACACTACCAAAAACATAAAATTGTCCCCCTAATAGGGGTTTTTGGCATGTTTTCATATAACGATGACATACATTCTTTATATTTTTATTTTTATTGACATAAGAATCAGTTGCAGTGGAATAACTAATTTACTAATAATTTGCAATGCATACAATTCATTTATAATATGAAATCAGCAGAAATGGAAATAAAACAACAATAGTTTTTTATGTTCCCAATATTGTTTCATTATGCAATGTTAATTTTTTTTTAATATTGAGCTTTCTATTAAATGATCAAATAACTTCATATGGTTTCAAATAGTATAATGTGATTAATATGTGTGTAATGTGTATGTGGAAATGTCCTGAAAAGGTAAACTGGTATGTGAAATGTCCTGAAAAGGTAAATTTCCTGAAAAGGTAAACTGGTTTACTTACAAATAAACAAGAATCATGTTACATTAGAGCTTAGTACAAGGATGTAGCATGAATAGAGTAATATGTTTTGATATGGCTTAGAATCCTATATGAAGTACACAAAAAAAAACAAAGAAAAAGGAATCCTCATTGTTAAGAGTCAAAATTGGCAAGATTGGTTTATGAGGTAACACATGCAGTAGGCTTTACTGATATTCACACTGAATTAAGGGGAGAGAATTCTGGTTTATTGTTCAAAAAGTGTCAAAATGTAAATTTGAATGAATTTTTCTTATTTTTAGAGTGCTGTAGATGTTGTAATATACCCCCTTATTAAAGGTTATTTGACTATTTGGCACACTCAGAAAATGTCCCTATCCCCTTAATAGGAGTGTCCCCTTAATAGGGGTTAGCTGTAGTGTTAAAAGATTCCTAGTTTCACAGAAAAGTGTCCCCTTAGTAAGGGTGTCCCCTGAATAGGGATATCCAAAAGGAGGGGATCTACTGTATCAAATTTTCCTTGGCAAGAAACCTGTATGACCATATATAGTCATGATGTGCCTATATATGGTCATGATGTGATGTCATCATGACCATATTTAGGCCTTTCACATTTTTTGTCAAATAAAATTTGATAGTCTGGATAGAAAGTTTAGGAGTTTTTACATTGAATGTTATTTATTATTTTTCTTTAGTGAACAGAGCACATCACTGGATAGTATAAAAAAGGATATCTCACCACTGGAAGCAGGTATGATAAAAGAACAGTGATCTACTCTCATTAACACTCTGACCGCCAGGGGTTTGAAAGAATAGTATCAGCCACCGCACAGACTTTTTAGCAAATTTTAACACATTGAGAGTGTGTATGTGATCAAATTGAGATGTATTGAATACTACAAGAACTAAAAACATTTTTGCTTTACAATGGTACCGAACACTTTTATTCTAATCACAATCTGTGACCTGTAACAGTAAAATGAAAATGACTCACTTTTGGAGATTAACACAATTTCGCACAACGAAGCTGAGATAATCGCGATTTCATGAAAGTAAATCAATACCACTCTACGCTAATGTAAACAAACAAATAGTGAAATACTTATGGTCCAGACTGAATATAGTGTTCAAATTGTTATTACATTTCGGTAATTACCTCATCTATCAGATTCCATAAAAACCTGAAACACAGAGATATCCATGTATGGCGGTCAAGCGTTGTGTTGCCAAACACGGAGATCTCTGTTTTTGGCGGGCAGAGTGTCAAGTTATGGATGTTTATTATTTATGTAAATCTATCCACTAATTTTTATGTGTTAATTATGCCCACATATTTGCATAATGAGGTTATGTCAACCCTATATATGGGTATGATGATATCATACAATTTAAGTTTAGGGTAGCCATTAATGTTTCCAGCTTTGCTGTTACATTATATGATCAACCCCCACCACTTGTCCACTATGTTCATTTATATATATATATATATATATTTATTGAGGCGTCGTCTCTAAAGTTTAGTTTTGGCCTTCTTGGTCACTTGTTTAGGCTGTTTATTCTAATCCCACCTAGCCTAGCCTATTGTTTCTAATCATGCTTGCATGAAATTCTCTCTTTATACTATCTGGCTTTTTCAACCCTCACTCACTCGCCACTGAGGAAGGACTAGTGTTGTCCGAAAGCTCTGGTTC